CCTGCACAGGGGCAGTAATTTTCCTACAGACTCACCTCCAAAGCAGATTGTCCTCCCTAATGCCCCAGGGTGTGTTTTGGTTYCTGCCAACGCTGCCATTTCATCCCCTCGTTGCTGACACGGCCATTAGGCCGCAGAGGATCTTTTGAAGTATTGGGGTGAGAGGCCTGAGGGTTTCCTGAGCACCATCACATCAGCACAGGCACAGGATGTGCCCCCATGTGCCCAGACATCTGTGCAGGCASAGTGTGTGGCTGTGGGCAAACATGGTGAGTGTTTTCACAARCCCCTCTGARGAAACRTGGTCGTGCYTTGCCACCAGTGCCATCCCCTCCTGAGGACCTGAARTCTYGTCTGAACGTGGCCATGCTGCGTCCTYCCCYCTCTGCTGCCTCCTGCTCAKGCCACCACTCACTGGCCATCRCCTCTACAGGCTGGTTTGTTGTGTAGCTGGTTTCAAATGGCTTTGCCCACRGAAATCTTCTCCTTCAGGGRAGAYATTTCCTGCTKTRTTTGGCAGAGTTGTCTCCTCTCAGTGCCATCTCTGGGCGTCCCCAGCCAGTGCTGTCAGCAGGCCTTYGGAAGGAGATTGCCACCCTCACTAAGCTGTGATTCCTGAAGAAGCCCTTTGAAGCTGGATCCCTCTATCCTCACTGTCAGAGGGGTCTGTTGCCTCTTGGGACAGCCCCATGTTCCCCCTCTCTCCTCCCCCCCCGATGCCATTTTTCTGCATGTTTTGTCCCGTGATCTGCAGGACACACAAGCCCAGGCTGCTTTTCCAATGCACACTGTCACTCTTACAAGCATCCCTGACCTTGTGGGAKAGCTGCCAAGCATCCCTTTTCCCCGGGCCAGGGTGGAGCTGCCCTTGCTGGAGGGGAATCCAGCCCTGCCTGGGACAGAGGCCTGCAGACATCACACCCTCACACCAAAACACTGACACAGCCAACCCAAAATTAGAGCATGACTTGTCTCTGGTAGGGAGAGTCTCTCCCTGAAAATTTACCTACTAAAGGCATTCCCTTGTGCCCCTTTGATGCGTCCCAGCTTCCTTCAAGYCTGCAGGGCTGGGAAGTGCATCAGTCCTCTGTGTGGTTTCAGAGCTGTTTTGTACCCAGGATGTTTCTGAGCCCTGAGCATCCCCAGGAACGTGGCACTGCAGGATCCTGTCGAGTCTCCGTCCTGTGGGCATCTCCACTCCTTTCCTGTGAAAACCATCTTCAAGCACCGGGCTGTGCCCAGACCCCACAGCTCCAGGCAGCCTCAAAGGCAAATTTCCTCAGCCTGAGCTGCCTGGCAGCACTGGGGTGCTCTCAGGAGTGACAGAGAGTATTGGAAAAGGGGACAGGACTTTGTGTGTCCTCCAGGTCAGGGTGCAAATGGTGCAGCCAGAGTGCCTTGTGGGGTCAGGAGAGGGGGAAAAAGGAGGCAATGATCCCGAGAGCCAACACATCCCTCAGGCAGTGAGAGGGGAGGCAGCTGAGTCCACAGGACTTGTTGAATGATTGAGAGGTTTTGGAAGGACAGCGTTCTCCTTCCGCAGCACTGGCTGGCGACGCACAGAGATGGCACTGAGAGGAGACAACTCTGCCAAACAAAGCAGGAAATGTCTTCCCTGAARRAGAAGATTTCYGTGGGCAAAGCCATTTGAAACCAGCWACACAACAAASCAGCCTGTAGAGGCGATGGCCAGTGAGTGGTGGCMTGAGCAGGAGGCAGCAGAGAGGGGAGGACGCAGCATGGCCACGTTCAGACAAGAYTTCAGGYCCTCAGGAGGKGATGGCACTGGTGGCAAGGCATGACCACGTTTCCTCAGAGGGGCTTGTGAAAACACTCACCATGTTTGCCCACAGCCACACACTSTGCCTGCACAGATGTCTGGGCACATGGGGGCACATCCTGTGCCTGTGCTGATGTGATGGTGCTCAGGAAACCCTCAGGCYTCTCACCCCAATACTTCAAAAGATCCTCTGTGGCCTAATGGCCGAGTCAGCAACGAGGGGATGAAATGGCAGCGTTGGCAGAAACCAAAACACACCCTGAGGCGTTAGGGAGGACAATCTGCTTTGGAGGTGAGTCTGTAGGAAAATTACTGCCCCTGTGCAGGGCCTGTGGGCCTGGGGCAGTGCAGGAGCTGTATAAAAGCAGGAGCTTCTCCTCATTGTCTCATCCACTCCTTCACCTGCATCTCGCTGGGAACAAGGTGAGTTTGGAGCCCTTTCTTGTCTTCCT